GAGCGCACTGATTAGGAACTGCCGTCGGACCTGGGTTTGAGTTTTGGCTGTCATGTGTTTGCTGAGTGACTGTGGGCCAGTCCTTGTACCTCTCTGAGTCTTGGTTTCCTCCTTTTTTTTTTTTTTTTTTTTTGGAGATAGAGTCTCGCTTTGTCACCTGGGCTGGAGTGCAGTGGCGTGATATTGGTTCATTGCCACCTCTGCCTCCTGGATTCAAGCGTTTCTCCTGCCTCAGCCTCCCAAGTAGCAGGGATGACAGTGCCCACCACCACGCCTGGCTAATTTTTGTATTTTTAGTAGAAACAGCGTTTCACCATAGTGGCCAGGCTGGTCTCAAACTCCCGACCTCAGGTGATCCACCCACCTCAGCTTCCCAAAGTGTTGGGATTACAGGTATGAGTCACCGCGACCGGCCAGTTTCCTCATTCTATAAAAAAGATAATCTTGGCTGGGCATGCTGGTGCACACCTGTAAACCAAGGCGGGCGAATCACCTGAGGTTGGGAGTTGGAGACCAGCCTGACCAACGTGGAGAAACCCCAGCTCTACTAAAAATACAAAATTAGCCAGGCATGGTGGTGCATGCCTGTATTCCCAGCTACTCAGGAGGCTGAGGCAGGAGAATCACTTAAACCAGGGAGGCAGAGGTTGTGGTGAGCCAAGATGGCATCACTGCACTCCAGCCTGGGCAACAAGAGTAAAACTCAGTCTCAAAAAAAAAAAAAAAGTTAATCTTACCACTTACCTCCCTTTAGGACATTTGGAGGATTAAATATGTTGACGTAGAGCAGGTGTTTGGCAGAGCGCATGTCCTAGAAGGCAGTCCCCAGTCCTGGGTGGTGTGTGTATAGACAGCTGTATAATTTGCAAAACACTCAGGTCAGTGATCTCATTTGACCATTCGAGGATGCTTCGGCAGTGGCCATTACCCCTAGTTTACAGATGTGGAAACTGAGGATCAGAGTGGGGAAACAACTTGCCCAGACTTATCTGTAAAGAAAGCAAGGACATTCGGCTTGACTCCAGACTCTGGAATCCTGGGCCAGGGTCCTTTGTTCTCTGCCCTGAGTCCTCCCTGCCTTTGCCTCTCCCCTCAGTTTTTTTGTGAGAAGGAAGGCCTGAGTCTCCCAGCCTGGATTTTAAAAGAAATAGAAATTTTTTTTTGTAATTACCAACATAGTTGCATATTCATCATATGTTTTTATACTTTTGGATATTTCTGGGGGACAGGGTCTCACTCTGTTGCCCAGGCTGGAATGCACTGGCACCATCATGGCTCATTGCAGGATCTTCAAGGCTTCAGCGATCCTCCTGCCTCAGCCTCCCAAGTAGCTGGGACTACAGGCGTGCACCACTGCACCTAGCTAATATTTATTTATTTATTTATTTACTGTAGAGATTGAGCCTCTCTACATTACCCAGGCTGGTCTCAAACTCCTGGGCTCATGAGATCCTCCTACCTGAGCCTCCCAAAGTGCTGGGATTACTGGTGTGAGCCACCATGCCAGGCCTGTTTGGCTTTTTAATGTTACATAGAAAATGAGTCTCCCCTGATATCCATCTTCAGAGGTGTGAATGGGAAGGGGTACATTCTTCCACATCTGTTATTACCATTTGCTTATTTTTATAAAAATCTGGTCATGTTTGAGTTGCTGATTCTCAGCTTGCTTTTGTTTCATTTAACGATACCCCCTGGATCTCTTTCCCATGCAAGAAGTAGAGAGAGCTGTTGTGTGGTCCTGGCAGAATGTGCACCCTTGAGCCCCCGGGCCCCTCCCCATCACATGCTGGGTGTTTTCAGCTGTTTGGCCATTTACAGGCGCGGAGGGAGGTGGGAAATGCCTGGTGTGTGATTGTGTTGACTCTCCCGTTTATGGGATAAGGTCAGCCAGCTCCTGGCTCTGCCCTGTAGGAGTTTCCTGTTGGTTTTGAGGAACTCTGTCCCCTGGAGAGGGGAGGCCTGAGCTGTAGTCCTTCATGCTGGGCAGCACTGAGCAGGAAGCAGCAGGTCCTGCTTGTCAGATCATAATTCCTCTTCTTTGCTAGGGATGGTGTGGAGTGAACCACAGGGGCTGGCCTGAGGGGCTTTGGCCTCCACCTGCCATCTGGGTTTGGGACACACACACGAATTGAGCTGAGTCAAATTGAGTTTGAGCCATTGTGTTCTCCTGAGTTCAGACCTTCCTGATCCCTCAGGAACAAACAGACCCTAACTCAGTTACCCTTGCTGTACCTGGAGGAAGCCTTGGTTGTGGTCCTTTTGGAATGCTCCTTTCAAGTTTTACCCCTGACGGTGGGCAGGTGAGGAGCAGGAGGACGGCCCACCCTGCCCCCTGGGTCCAAAGATGCTCTTTTGGAACATAGCTGAAGGGTTTGGGCAAGGTGACTGTACAGGCATGGCAGCCTTGTTTTGCAGGGCTGCGAAAGCATCTGGCATGATCGCGCTGGGAGCGAGGTCTGTGCTGGAGCTCCTGACGTGTCACCTGTGCTTTTCAGGTGCACTGTCCTGTCGCTCTCCCTCCCCCATGTCACTTCCTCTGTTCTTTCCCGGAAGTCTCTTTTCTCTCCCACATGCCACATGAGAGCCACGGAGCCAGCCCCTCCGCAGATGGTGCCCTGCTCCGCTTCGCAGTAGCACCTTCACAGTCCGTGGTCATCCTCCGCGCCGTGTCTCAATGCCAGGCGGTGTGCTGGGACACTGAACACATTTGCCCATCTTACCTTCGCCACAGCCTTGTGTGTGAGATCACTTTACCATTTTTCAGACCAAGGCCCAGAGGGACGAAGTCTCTGGCCCAGTTATACAATGTACATGTGGCAAAGCTAGGACTTGAACCCAGGTTGGTATTGCTTGGCAGCCAGGGCTCTTTCTACTTCACCCTCTGTTGCTTCCTTTCCTCAAGTTCCCAGGCTTCTGGGGGCCCTCAGAGTCACCTGGGAGCTTGTTTAAAATGCTGTTCCCCTGGGCCCACCACTACAGACCTGCAGAGTCTGCCCTGGAAGGTTGGGCCCAGGAATCTGCACTGTGAAGAAGCTTCCCCAGCAGTTGTGAGGCTTGTGGGCTACAAACCACGCTAAGAAACACTGACCAGAGGCCACTCTTTCGCCTTAGTCCCCGTCGTCTCCTGCAGAACTCATGCCCTCAGTGTGGAAGCAGGGCTGAGCTCCCCACAGGACCGGGGCTGGACAGTTGCTTTTTAGTGGCTTCACTGTGTGTGAGTATGTATGAGTGTGTGTGTGTGTGTGTGTGTGTGTGTGTGTAAGTGTGTGTGTGAGTATGTGTGTTGGGAAGGCGAGGGGCTTAACCTTCTTCCTTAAGGACGTGCGGGGCTGAGGTTTCTAGAAGGGCTTTTACTCCCAGCCACAAATGTTCCCTGCTGTCTTCCAGATGCGCTTCTATTGCGTCTTGCATCTCGCAGCAAGTTCGTCTACATCTAAACGTCTCTTGAGGGCTTAAAACCTCAAAATTAAATTGCTTGCTGCAATCTAAGCCTCACGCCTAGAGCGACGTTCCACCAGAGTAAAAGTGGCTGTAAAATTCCACGGCTTTCACATGCCACCTGGGTGCCCTCAGAGTGCAGCTGCCAAACCCACGCCCTCTGACGGGCAGTATGACAAATGCACTGACCAGCAGCGGGGGCGGCGAGCGGGAATCCTGGCCCTGCAGGAACACCTCGAATCCCCCAGCTGGCTCCATGGGTCAGGATCCCTGGGGACAGCCCCCTTCCAGCCCAGAGAGTGGGGCACCGGTCAGCTCACCCTCTGTCAGACCCCCCAGTCCCCCTGGCCTGCCTAGGGCATGGCCAGTGCCCAGTCCCCTGGGATCTCAGCAGAAGATGCGTCTGCTGCCTCTCTGGGCTGCTGGTGGCCACGTTTCATAACCTGTCTAGGAAGGCAGTGCTAGTGTTCATAACAGGTTAAGACCTGCAAACCGTGTGTGGTTCTGACTCTGTGTGTAAATATGAGTGTTTGTTAGCTGGACGAGACAGTTCCCACCTGTAATCCCAGCACTTTGGGAGGCGGAGGTGGGAGGATTGCTCAAGCCCAGGAGTTTGAGACCACCCTTGGCAACATAGCGATCTGTCTGTACAAAAATTTTAAAAAGTGGCCAGGCACAGTGGCTCATGGCCGTAATCCCAGCACTTTGGGAGGCTGAAGCGTGTGGATCACAAGGTCAGGAGATCAAGACCATTCTGGCTAACATGGTGAAACCCCATCTCTACTTAAAAAAAAAAAAACAGAAAATTAGCCAGGTGTGGTGGCATGTGCCTGTAGTCCCAGCTACTTGGGAGGCTGAGGCAGGAGAATCACTTGAACCTGGGAGGTGGAAGTTGCAGTGAGCGGAGATTGTGTCACTGCACTCCAGCCTAGGT